CTTTTTCATAAGCGACCTGGCCATAAATGAGAGCTCAACGAAGCGGCTGTTACTATGTGGACATTTATAGCTGCCAAATACTCGAAACGCATGACGTTGATTCTAAATGTGGCGGGGGGAAAAACAGAGGACCCGGAGAAAAATCCACGCAACCACGGCGAGAGACAGAGACATCCAAACTCCAAATAAACAGCAGCAGGCGTCAGGGTCGGGATCGAACTCAAGACCTCCTGTATACCAGGCGAGGTAGTTAACATCTCCTAGACGCTGATCGCATCGCGCTGAACGCGATACGATCAGCGTCCCATGCACGAGATGCGCGAGCAACGCTGAGACCCAGCGGAGAGCTGGATACGAGAACACCGCATATAAGCACAGTTCTGACATAAGCAACACGCGGTCACATTGCACGGGTGGAGGGAGGCGATGGGGGACTTCTAATACAAGCACCCTACTGCGGATACAAGCACAGCTGGCCTGGCTGCGAAGGGGTGCGTTTATATCCAGCTTCCGACGGGCATCGCGTGGTGAATACGAAGACGCGCATCTCGTCACAGTGGGCTTGCACCTCGTCCCTACGCCAGCCGCGGGCTGTTTCCGTGCGTGAGCGGGCGGCGGGGCGCTCACTCGGGGGCCCCGCGAGTCGTCGAGGCCACGCGAGGCCCGCGGGGCACCGAGCTGCTGGCGAGGCGGGCGAATGAGGCCCGGGAGCCGGCGCCGCGCCGTGGCGAGCGCGCTCCGCCATCATTAGCGCGGGCTCATTAGCCGCTCGCACCGGGATGAGAATTGCGCTACCCCCGGGCGACGGCTCTCCGCTGTGGGCCGGGGCAGATCTCCCGGAGAGAAGCCTCAAAGGGCGAGAAGAGAAATCCCCCGCTGGGGGAGACGTGGAGGGCTCATTGGGCGGCATGGTGCTCTCTAGCAGAGCGCGCGCGTCGATCCACACACTCAGACACGTGACCTCGCCGTGTGCACACACTCAGACACGTGACCTCACCGTGTCCACACGCTCAGACACGTGACCTCGCCGTGTCCACACACTCAGACACGTGTCCTTTGCATGGTTCAACTTTTAAACACAAGTACACAGAGTGATCGAGTCTCTCTGTGTCCGCCTTCATTGCACAGAGGTAACGTTGCCTCAACACAAAGTTGCCTCAACACAAAGTTGTCTCAACACAAAGTTGCCTCAACACAAAATTGCCTTAACACAGAGTTGCCTCAACACAAAGCTGCCTCAACACAAAGTTGCCTAAACACAATGTTGCATGAACGGGAAATTACCATTTCAAACCCAAAGAGAACGTCTTCCGGAGAGCGTCTCCCCGCTGTGACGAGCTCTTCAGCGGCGCTCCCTGGCCTATAAGTGGAAATTCCACATTCCCATGGCCGCATAATATTGAATTCCCCACAACTGTCGTAACTTAAACGAGCCTGGAGGGACGATGGGCTGAGTCCACCTCCGAGCGGGAGTGGAACCCTCACTCACTCACTCACTCCCTCCCTCCCTCACTCACTTCCTCACTCGCCCTCCCGGGTTTGAGCCGGACCCTCTGACATCTCACAGAACCAACATCAGCCAAGGTCTATCCACTGCTGGATCGGGGCCTCGCCACTCCGTCGTCATCCCTCACGGTCCCGTGTTGCCACATTCCAGCTCGCTCCTTCGCAAGAAGGAGATCTCAGCCCTCAATGGCCTGAATACACAAAGACAAAGACCCCCCGTGTAGCCCACACAGACTGCTGGGCCAAACGCTTGTTAGCGAGCACCTATCAAGGCCGGCACAGGACACGAGTGGGTGGGTGGACAGCACCACGCTCGGCCACCTTTGTTTCCCCAGTGCTGATGTTTACACACCGCACCATTTACTAATTTGAGGCTCAGTCGACCTAGGGGAGGCCCAGGACCGATTCAAATATTCGCCACTGGTACTTGCCCGCGGTGGCCTCCCCCGGGCGTGCCCCTCGCCTTCGGCTGACACATTCCGTGTCACCATCATTCTCCGAAGACTATCCTCACAATATTGACTTAAACTGGAGGAATCAGAGGAGCAACGAAGACCTTTCCCCGAGCCCAACGTGACGCTGTCCGTAAGCTCTAAAGATCCCCCACTCCACGTTGCTCCGCCCTCCATCCGAGTGCGCGCCTCTCTGCGTCGTTCCACGCTGTCCGCCAGTGTCCCGCCTCTCTGTGTCCCAGTCTTCGCGGCAGCTCCCAGCCGCCACCGGCGAACATCGCGGACTGGACGCGCTATTCGGTGATGCTGCGCTGGCAGGGGTGCACAGACAACAACAATCTACACAGTTCGCAATAACACGACCTTGAAAAAAAAAGTGTACAAAAAATAAGCGACGTTTCTGGCAATCCACAGCACTTAGAGAGGCCAGAGAGCTCGAGTCAACACCGCATATCGGAATGCACTTCGCGTGGTGATACACCGCATCGCAGATATAACGCGTTACAAAACCCGCGTTGCAAACACAACGCGTCGAGTCTGCAGTGGGATACGAACAGTGTACTCCAAGTGGGTTGGAGCTGGTAGCTGAGTCTGGAGTGAGCTCTGAGTCTGCAGTGGGATACGAACAGCGCACTCCAAGTGGATTGGATCTGGTAGCTGAGTCTGGAGTGGGATACGAACAGTGCACTCCAAGTGGGTTGGAGCTGGTAGCTGAGTCTGCAGTGAGATCTGCAGCCCGAGAGGAGGAATCCCCGGACCCCGCGGCGCGCGGGAACCCGGCCCGGGGACGATGCACGGCGCTGCAGCTGCTGCTGGTTCTGGGCACAGAGAATCGACGCGGAAATCGGCTGCCTGTGGTGTCACGGCTGGGGCTCCGGCAGCGAGAGCGTCTCGGGTGAGGCAGGGCACGCAGTCCCCACGTCACGTAGACCGTGTACAGTTATTTACATAAAGCGACAAATAAACCCGATATACCGCGCGCGTGTCGACTGATACGCAGCAGTGCGCACTCGACCCATGACGCTCGCTAACTCATCCGTGACCGCCATAACCGCCTAACCCTCACCCCTCAAACTTGATCCCCTGCTCCCTGCCACAGGACAGTGGAATGTCCATCGCTGGCTCAAGGCCGGGTGTGCACGGCTCCGCGGCACATGCACCGGTAACGTATCAAGTGATGTGACATCCGATTCGCATTCACGCGGAAGCCTCAGTGGCACGTGTGAGTGAGTGTGGGGAGCGGTGGCGCAATGATTAGCGCGCTGCGCTATGAACCTGGCGACCCCAATTTGATTCCTTCTCACGGACACCAACACCAGTGACGATTATCTGAGCCGGTCCTGGGTCTCCCCCTAGGTCGACTCAGCCTCGAATGAGGAGTAGCTAGTGCGACGTGGAAACATGGACTTGTCTTAGCACGAGAGGGGCGCGTGGGGTGATCTTTAACGTGCGGATTCCACAAAACGCGGCGCTTTTGTGACACCGCCCCGCAGGTAACCAGAGCGAGTGGGCGACAGGCGCGTGGCGCTTGGCTCAGAGCCACGGGATGAGACCAGTTGCGCCCAAAACAATGAGGGCACCCGTTCCGATCTCACGACCTCTCTGTCCCGGCACCAGGGCTCCGCGCCCGTGGGCACGTGGATGATGACGAGGCGCGGCTGTAACATCCCACAACACCCACGGGCCGAGACGGTGCGCGTCGCGCGTTCCGACAAATGCGATGAAACCGGTGACGGATATCAGAGTCGACTCAGTTTTAAATGAGCGCTTGGTGCATTGTTAATTCAACACGAACACTGGGAAGACAAAGGCGGCCGAGTGTGAATCCTGGCCACGCCACCTTGTTCGTGTGCCGTGGCGGCCTTCATAGTTGCTCGTTAACAGCATTTGCCGCAAGAGTCTGTGAAGGCTACACGGGGGATCTTTGTCTTTGTGTGCGCGCTGATCCGCGCGGCTGAGGACGCGTGCCGCGTGGAGGGGGAGGGGGGAGCCGGGGGGAGCCGGGGGGGACGGGGGGGGAATTCACACAAAGCGGCACGCGTCGCACAGACGGCACGGGCCGCCCGGGGGTGGGTGGCAAGGGGAGGGGCGTGGGGGACGCGCGTGTCTTGTTAAGCAGCAGGTGCGGCTTCTTTTGACGACAGCCTGTACACAATCCTCCTCCTGGCCCCGAGCCCCCTCCACCACCACCGCAGCCACCCCACCCCCAAGCCGCGAAACCCCATCCACACGCCGAGCACTTAATGAGAGGCACGCGCCACCAAACCCAAGCGCCTGCAGCCATGGCCCGGCAGTGGCACAGCGCTAGGAGGAGGAATCGCGTACCAAGTCACGAACTCGCGTCGCTGCACACCGGACGAGGGCTCCGTGAGGTCAATGCCGCTGCCGCTGCAGCGCCGAGCCGCCGATGAAACGGCGCGCAGGGAAACTCAATCCCCCTTCTCGCGGTGCCCACCTCTGGCGGTGGCCATTTGGCGACTCGCGCCGCGAGCCGGGCTTTGAGAGACCCCCCCCCCCTTTAAGCGCCGCGTGCTCACGAATGCGCGCCGAATCGGGGGAGATGCGAGTATGGTGAGTCCGGGTCGGGGCGGACAGGGTGCTGAGTCACTATCGGGATATTGATCAAGGCGACGATTGCGCGCTGCTTCTGTCGATGCGCCAAATCCTAATTCCGGGCGGGGGGGGGGGCGAGCGGAGCACCGCGCTTTCGCACTCCAGTGACGGAGGGAGGAGGAGGCGACGGGCGCGTTTAGCACCGTGTTGGTGGCGCGGAGTTGTGAGCGCCGTGTGGCCGCGCCGCGGGGAGAGGGGGTGCGGAGAGGAGGCCGGGGGGGAGGGTGAAGGGAGGAGGGGGACTGGGGCGGCAGTTGTGTGCGGATCTGGCCGGGCTGAGCGCGGGGGTGAGTGAGTGACTGAGTGACAGCCCCCCCCCCCCTCGACTGCGAGGCCGAGTGGGTGGGGGGTGGGGGCGTGGCGAGGCGTGCTTTTTAAAGGCGCAGCGAAGTCGCGCTCGGCCACTGCAGAGCGCGCGTCTCACGCCAGCTCCGAGCCTCGCGTCCCTGCCGCCCGCCCGCCCGCCCGCCCCTCACAAGCGCCGCGGCTCGCAAGCGGCGATGGCTACAGGCTCCTGTGCCAGCATATCGGCTTTGTCGCTAGCGTTACTCGCCTTGTGCGCGCTCAAGGTGAGCACCGTAGACTCACAACAGCAACGTCTGCCACAGCAAAACGCGTCGTTGTTCAGCGAGAGCTTTTTATAAAGGGGAGAATGGGGGAAAAAACTGAACGTAACAAAACAACAACTATGATATAACTAATTCGCATCGGCGGCGCTAATTCAAGCGTGGACATCATTCATAATGCATGTGCGCGCCATGGATACGCTCGCTGGCGCGGGTCCCGTGACGGAGCTGAATAATTGACGGGGGAACGGGGGGACGGTGCAGGTGTAGGGTCTCACTCTCCCTTCCTTCTCCCACCGACCCCTCTCCCCACCCTGCCCTCTACCCCCTCCTCTCTCCTCGCCCTCCGCGTGCCCCGCGCGTCCTCCTCGTCCAGGACCAGGTGTCCGCGTCGGGAGTCTTCGAGCTGCAGCTGCACGAGTTCAGCAACGCGGGGGGAGAGGAGGAGGCGCCGCGCGGTGCGCCTCGCCGCTGCTGCGAGCGCGCCGCGTCGGACGCCTGCGAGTGCCGCACCTTCTTCCGCGTGTGCCTCAAGCACTACCAGGCCAGCGTCTCCCCCGAGCAGCCGTGCACATACGGGGAGCTCACCACGCCCGTGCTCGGATCCAACTCGTTCCGCGTGGAGGAGACCCGAGGATTCGCGAACCCCATCCGCCTGCCCTTCCCCTTCAAGTGGCCTGTGAGTGCGCGCGGCGCGGCGCCGGGATGAGGTTTGCGTCCGTAGAAGTCGGTCGACCGCGACGCTCTGCTGTCGAGCGACTCGAGTGTCTGGGCAGAGCGCCCCTTAGACGCGGCTCGCGCTATAGGCGCGGAGGATCAGCCGTTCGCCTGCGATCGTGTGCGCCGGGAGTTCTTACAAGAATGAGTTTGTCGTGAATGCGTAAAGGCCAACGGGCCGCAGGAGAGGGGCACCGCACGGCGCGGTGTGCGCCTCGGCGCGGGCACCTCCGGTGTCGCTGTTCTTAAACCGAGCGGTGTCTGTGGCTCGCAGGGCACGTTCTCGCTCATCATCGAAGCCTGGCACACCAACTCCACGGAGCGCCTCACCACTGGTGAGTCAAGTCCAACGGACCCGTCGCCCTTCCTGCCCCCTGTCCTCGCACCTGAATCCGGGGGGTCGGGAAGCGGGGCTCGTGTAGCAGACTCCTTCCCATGCCCCCCCCCCCCCCTTCTTCCCCCCGTCGTTCCTCGCTTTTACGGGCAGAGCCGCTCGCTGCAGCAGTTTCCGATCCCGCGCAAACAGGAAAGCGGCTCGCGCGCTCTGACGCGCGCTGCTGGCACGGCCGTTCCGCGAGCGTGGGAACGGTGCGCCGCGAGGAAGGGCTCCCGACACGCCGGCCCCTTTCCGCTGCTCCCGGGACCCTGAGCCCCCCTCCCCACCTCCTCGCCCCCCCCGTCCGCCTTACCTGCCCCCCCCCCCCCCGTTCTCCTGCTCCCTCGGCGCTGCAGTGCGCGCGCTTCACGGTAGGAGGCGCCTCGTCCCCATTGCGACCCCCCTGCCCCATCACCCCCCCACCCACGCTACCCGCTCAGTCCCTCCGCTGCGGGCTCGCCAGTAATGAGAACGTGTAATCCCATTACCGCGCCCATAGAGCTGAACGAGACGTGTTTATTGGGGAGAATGCGGCGTGGCGCTCGAGTTAAGGGAGGGTTCGCATCTCGGCGCGCTCCGCAACACTTTGGGACACGCTCCTCGAAGGGGCTTCCCAACTCTTTGGCTTCCTCCGGTGTTTGCAATGAGGGGGTCTCGATTCAAGACAAAGGACTTAAGCGATTTGAGAGGGAGCCGAGACTTGTCGTCCTCACCGCGCTCATCGCTGCGGCACTGCCCTAGGGGCGCGCCACAGCCAATCCCTCGAGCCCAAGGGGTCGGCCACCTGCAGCTCTGGAGCCTCGTGACGCTATCTATTAAGGACCGCCACCGTCTCTTATCCACTACACAGTGCATTGCGGCTCTTTAAATATTGCGTTTTTACCGAATTTGTCTCTTCTTGTTATTTTGGTTGCCGACCCCTGCTCTCGCTTCTAACGACCGCGCTGCTGCTGCCTGATCTCTGTGCCATGAAAAAGGGTCATTACCCGAATCGTCCCTTACTAAATTGCTTCCTTTGAAGGCCACGGGTGCCGAATGTGTTGCGAGATCGTTCTACCCTGTGGCACCGAGCCGCTCCCGGGGACCCTCCCGCTAACGACCCCGCCGCTGTGTGCCCCGCACCCCTCCTCCACGCGCAGACGACCCCGGCCGCCTGCTGAGCCGCCTTGCCACGCAGCGCCACCTGTACGCGGGTGAGGCGTGGGCCCAGGACGTGCACACGAGCAGCCGCACGGAGCTCAAGTACGCGTACCGCGTGCTCTGCGACGAGCACTACTTCGGCGACAGCTGCTCCACCTTCTGCCGCCCGCGGCGCGACAACTTCGGGCACTACGCGTGCGACGAGGCGGGCAGGCGCGTGTGCCTGCCCGGCTGGCGCGGCAACTACTGCACGGACCGTGAGTCGCGCTTCTGCTGCTGCAGAATCAGAGATCCTCATCCTTGTCATCCTTGTCATCCTCATCCTCCTCGCGCGGTCGACACGCCTCCTCCTCCTTCCTCATTCTCTTCGGATCCGTTTAGTGCTGAGTGCGGCTGAGTAATTAAATAGGCCTCGCCGAGTCGCGTTTTCAAGGAGTCAATGGGCGTTTTGTGCCATGAAGAGAATGTTTGGGGCGCTATTGTTAAGGGAAATGACCATAACTGGAACTGTAAACATTGAGACGAGCGTCTGTACGCAGTCGTAGATATACCACGTGGACTGTGGAGTGAGTAGCGCGATACGCGTGGCGTCGCGTATCGCACGATGCCAAGCCGCAGGGGCCACCACCGCCAACACAGTGGACGCTTGTTCCACTTTGCTCATCTCCAGGACGCGTTGCGCGTCCTCCGCATCGCGCAACGCTCGCCCCATAGCCCGTGCCGTGCCAACTGCGCCCCTTCGTGGGGGTTGCCTTTGGCCGCGTGCCCCTGTGGGCGTCACCTGCACGCGCCGTGCTAAGCTGCTGTTTGCACGGCGCGTGCCGAGACGTGGCCGCCGTCGCTGTGCCCGCGGCACGAATGGCAAGCGGAGAACACGTGGCGGAGCGTGAATTATAATCGTGGCGACAACGCCACGGCTTAGGCAGCGCCTCGGGAAGGATCGCCCTCTCACTGCAGCCGCTGTAGCCGCAGCACAAAGGGCAGTAAATCAGCGAAGGACGCGTGGCCTTGACGGGAGCCGCACGGGCCGCGTCCCCCGTGATGGGAGGGGTTCTCGCGGGTGCGCGCATTCAAAGCAGGGCGCGTGGTGTCTGTCCCCCTCCACTCCCCCTCCGCACGTCCCACCGATGATCCCCGCGTCTCCTCCTAATGAGGGGCACCGAGCCCTGTGACGGGGGCCGCACGCGCTGCGTAAAATAAAAAAAAAACACAACCCTGCCCCCGATTTGTAGCCGAGGCTCGGCTCCGTGGGCCCGTGGGCCGTGGTCGCTAATGAAAGGCCGTGGATTAGGGGCAGGGGGACACAATGGGGCAAGCTGGCGCGCGGCGCCTTTGTGCGCGGCAGCTGCGCGGCCACAAAGGGGGCAGCTGTCCCGCGCCGGGCTGCCCCCAACTGGCCGCCGTTAACTCACTTCTACAAAGCGGCGCTGCGCAGGGAGGGGAGCGGCCCGGCATATGGGAGCGCGAGTTCGGTTAATCCGTTGTTTCCAGGTCTAATCCCCGACATCAAGACTTTGGTTAAAAAATAACTAATATCGCATCACACGGGCGAAGTCGTCGGCTCCCCGTGTATCGCGGCCGCGAGTGATGCGTCGTGACTAACCAGAGCCTCCCCCCCACCTCTCTCTCTCACCAACAGCGATCTGCTTGGCTGGGTGCAGCCCACAGCATGGACAATGCGATCAGCCCGGAGAGTGCAAGTGAGTAGCTGCGCAGCGCCCACGTACAGACACGGACATGGGGGGGGGGGGGACAATCAGCGGTGGGCAGGCTTGTCCTGGCAGCCCGACCACGTGACCTCGGGACCGCGTTCTCTTTGATGGCGACAATCAAAGGGTTTTGGCGGGCGGGCGGGCGACACGTGTACATCAGGCCTACTCTCCATTTCCTCTCTCTCACCCTCTCGCTCACACTCTCGCCCTCTCCCTCACACTCTCACCCTCTCTCTCGCTCACCCTCCCTCTCACTCTCTCACACTCTCACCCTCTCACCCTCTCTCACTCTCACCCTCTCTCACACTCTCACCCTCTCTCTCCAACTCTCTCTCTCTCACCCTCTCTCTCTCACGCTCTCACCTCTCTCTCACACTGGCCATTGTCTAACTTGGGTGTGTTTTGTTGTTGCCGCCCCGGCGCAGGTGTCACGTGGGCTGGCAGGGCCGCCACTGCGACGAGTGCATCCGCCACCCGGGCTGTGTGCACGGTTCCTGTCACCAGCCGTGGAAGTGCAACTGCCAGGAGGGCTGGGGCGGCCTCTTCTGCGACCAAGGTGAGCGGCCGACGGCGGCCCGTACCCCCCCCCCCCCCCCTTGAGCGGGCAGCAGGGCTCGGGAATGTGTTGGTTTCTTGTCTCTGGGTTTGCTCGCTCCTCCTCCGTGCGAACGCTTCCGAGCGCCGAATTTGACCGCGGCGTTCTGAGATGCGACTTTGCGCGGAAGACGTCGCTCTATGAACGGGAACATTGTTGCCGCATTGCTCGCATTGTCGCAGATTGTCACGAGCCCATTGCAGACCTTGTGGATCATGCAGCGGGCCCTCGTGGAACCGAAATGGTCACTCGAACACGTACAAGTAGAATAACGGAACGCTGCGAGTTTGAGAATGGACATTGATAGATGATCCGATGTATAGTCGCACCCCTACACACGCGCAAGAGATTGCTGAGCAGAAGCCCAGAGGCCTAAAATATCAAGCGGCCAGCAACTAACAGCACCATCACAATTGTCATAGATACGAGTGTAACACGTTAGTAACAAATCGAGCACGGTTATTGTAAGAGCTTGGGAAAAACAGATGATGGGAGAGAACTTGCACTCACTCACACACACTTGTTACACACACACACACACTTGTTACAACACATACACACTGGCACCACCTCGCTCACCGACCTGTCGGCTCACGGAGGGTGCGAATCGCGCGGCCGTAGTGATGACCCATCGTCCCCCTCTCCCCCGCGCAGACCTCAACTACTGCACCAACCACCGGCCGTGCCAGAACGGTGCCACGTGCACCAACACGGGCCAGGGCAGCTACACGTGCGCGTGCCGCCCGGGCTTCACGGGGCCCACGTGCGACACCGAGATCAACGAGTGCGACAGCAGTCCCTGCCGTCACGGAGGCAGCTGCATGGTACGTTCACTCACGCTCACGCACGCTCACACACATCGTGTGCACGTGTTCCGGGGTGCTGTCAGACTGGGCTAGTAATGCGACTGGCCACAGCCACGGCCGCATCAAGAGACAATACCGGATGTGGTTTGCCTAAAGACGAATATTATTCCCTGGGCACGACGTCGTTTGCCTGAGCTGCCGGTCAGCATGCCTAGTGCCCACGACGACGGCCCGGGTCAGCTCGAGGGCCTGTCCGTCCTTTGTCCGGTAACGCGACCGTCACGAGCCGCGTGTACCTCTTTCGCACCGTACGGAGCCGACCGTGCTAATCAGAGGTGCCGCCAACAGGACTTGGAGAACGGCTACGCTTGCTCGTGCCCGCCGGGCTTCTCGGGCAAGAACTGCGAGCGCGGCGCCATGACGTGCGCCGACCAGCCCTGCTTCCGCGGCGGGAGCTGCGTGAGCGCCCCGGGCGGCAGCTACGCTTGCGTCTGCCCCCCCGGCTACACTGGCCTCAACTGCGAGAAGAAGGTCGACCGCTGCAGCAGCGGAGGCAACACCTGCGCCAACGGTGAGCGAGCAGCCAGGCCGGGTGGCAGAACCCTCTCCCCGTGCTCACCCTCTTACCCACTGACGCTTTATAAAAAAAAATATGTATCTTTTAAAATAATTCACTTGGAATACCTCCCATCGATTCCAAACAGCTCAGAGCAGTTCTAGATGCGGGCCAACAACCACTGGCAGCATCGAGCCAGATAATACTCGTCACCATCATTGTTAACGCCTTAGTTTACAGAACAAAACAAAGTTTAACGAATTATATGGATTTAGCCTGTTGAATTCTTTGACACGCCGGTGTTGTGCATGCTGGTTGGGAGCACGTGAGGTTTGTTATACCGCACAGGAGCCGGGTAGCCCCTGGTGGTCTCTGCGGTTGTCACGGTGCCAATTGGCAAGGTTTTAATGCCCAGTGGGGAATTTTGAACGCTGTAAAGTGGAGTGTTTAAAGCCCCTGGGACATTGTTGGCAGGAGTAGATCGTTGTGCCAGTGTTATAGCCTTAGTAAAACAGAGGACATTGGTCTAACATGGCTATGCTCGCTAAAGTCCCGCACTTTGCGGCCAAATTTATACGCGAAAGGAAAGTCTGCAGAATATCAGTAAAAATAAAACGCGCGATTTATGATCAAATGAGCATCGAGTCACTGGTGCTTGTCTCATTTACAGCCCAGAGCCAGTGGTGGAAATTGCACATTTCCATGCCAGTCTCTTCCGAGGACAATCACTTTTTTGACTTGCTCCACAAAGTGGTTCCTATTTTAATGACTCCAGCGGGGTGATGTTGGGCCGAGTCAACCCACAACCCGGAGTGGCCGCCTCGCCAGGCACCGCAACGACGGTGGGAGGGAACCGGACGACGAGAGCGGCGCGGCCTGTATGCCCCTCGAGCGCGAGCGAGCACTTACACCTCCCTCCCCCGCCGCCCCTCGCAGGTGGACAGTGTGTGCCCTCCGGAAACTCGGTGCGCTGCATCTGCCGCCCCGGCTTCTCGGGCACGCGCTGCGAGATCGCCGCCACGCAGTGCGCCGCCCGACCCTGCGCCAACGGCGGCACCTGCCAGGACACGGCGAGGGGCTCCGTCTGCATCTGCCCGCCAGGATTCGGGGGCCGGGATTGCTCCCAACCAGCGGCGGACCCCTGCGCCGCACGGCCCTGCTGGAACGGCGCCACCTGCCGCGCCGCCCCGGCGGGTGCGGGTGGTGCCTACCGGTGCACCTGCGTGCCGGGCTACTGGGGGCAGCAGTGCCAGTTCCACCACGAGATGGATGAGGGCGACCTGGCCTACACGGCGGAGATGCCGCCGGAGGAGACGAACGTGGCGAGGCGCGACGGCTACCTGTGGCTGGCCGCGTCGGCGGGCCTGGGCCTCGTGGTGCTGGCGCTGGGCCTGGGCGCCATGGCGATGGCGTACGTGCGCGTCACGGCGCACGCGACCACGCGGCGCGTGTCGAGCCGGCGCGGGGGCGGCGGCGGAGGAGCCGGAGAATCGGAGGCCGTGAAGAACAACAACGCCTGCGAGTACCAGCGTGCCGAGCTGCCCTCGGAGCCCAACCTGCAGCTCAAGAACACTAACAAGGCCGCGGCGCTGGGGAGCGAGGCGTCCGCGGGGCAGAAGTCTAACCACTGGCTCAAGCTGCCCGACTGTAACCTGGCCGGCGCCCGCGGGGACTGCAAGTACCCGCTGGGCGAGGAGAAGAGCGCCCTCACCCAGAACAGGTGAGCGACGGCTCCTTTAGGAGCCTCGCGCCGCCGCGTGGGCTCCCCGCCCCCACACCCCCACCCCACCGCCAGCCGCTGGCAGCGCAGGGAGGGCTGCAGGCTGGATGCCGACTCCTGGCCCTGGTTAAGAGACTCGTTGAGAATCTCACGTGTTTATATTTATTGTATGGCTTTTCTGTTTACGTTACAGCAGAGAGGCATGCTTTCGCTTAGATTGGGGGTATTCACTTAACAAGTTACACACGTGCGTACGGTCTTGCACTTTGACTTTAAGCTAGTGTGCAAGCATAAATGAACGCACGTGTGCGTGTATAAACATACGCAACCCATACGTGCAAAGCATACAAACACACATGTGCATTCTGTGTGCGCAACATAGCTTTGGCGTCATTTAGTTATATTTTTTTAATTATGTAGATGAATCTTTACTTCTACAAATAAAGCATCATTGGGGGTCAAGGTAAGATTGTGTCACGAGTGGCGGGCGGATAGCGCGCCCGACCGCGCTTGTGCTGACCTTGCCGAGGTCTCACGCTCTGCCTCCCTCTCTCTCTCCCCACAGTGAAAAGTCCGACCGTCACATACCGGCCATGCCGTACACGCATCACCCCGAGGGGCTGTATCACCACACTATCTACCTGATACCGGACAGCGCCGACAAAAGAGTTCTCGCCACAGAGGTGAGTTCTGATCCCGCAACTCGCGAGCGAGCACACGTCACCTGGGGTCGCCTCCGTCACTCGGGAGGCGCCGGTCCCCCCTGCAACGACGAGATGCCAGGATTTTTAAAGCAGGGCTCCCACCCACGGTGAAACCACAGTAAACCTGGCTTCTCAAGCGTGTGGGCAGCGTGGTCTCGGCCAGGTCACCAGAACTGCACAAGTAAATTCATAATACAAGTCCGCCCAGTCATCAAGGCTCTGTGTGTGAAACAAAGACTCCTCTGCAGCGATTGGCTGACTGTGCCATGGGGGGGATTCCACGTCGCATAATCCCTGCCGCTCTCCTAACAGCTCTGGTGTGTGTGCGTTGCGCCCTCCTCCCTCCTCACAGGTATGACACTGCAGGCAGGCGTCTTCTGTGGGCCCACGGAGCTTCGGCGAGGATGGGCGTTGTTTACAAGGGACGTGGGGCGGTGGACCAGTGCTGCTAGTGTGCGGATGCCTCACGTGTGGGCAAATCTCGATTTGGAAGAAAGCCGAGCACTTTTTTTTTTTTGGAAGACTTCACACTGTGACATGCGGACGTGGTACAAGCACTGTGGGGCACCACGTGGACTCGGGATCCGTCGGGGCCGAGGGCCCTCGGCGAGCCCAACGCGTGTACATTACGGAGCGCCGGTGACGGCGGCGGCGCGAGCTCGTCGCAGACGTCAACGCGGAATTACAGAAGAATGTGCGCAGAGCTTGGAGCGTATGACTGCGGATCTCTTAGCGGCCTCTCACACTGATTGCACTACTCTCTATTATGGAGTCTCTACTAGCGAACTTTAGTGCGGCTGGCCTCACGCAGGCCAGGCCCGATGCCTTCTCGTCTCTGATCCTGTCACTTGGTATTACTTGCTGCAAATGAATGTCCTGCTTGTATAAGTGTTATTGTTGTGTATACTGGCTGGCCTCTCCCTATGCTTCATAACTTTTGTATTTTTCTCATTTACTATTTGTACCGTAAGAAGAAAATATTTTTTTAATTTTTAGTCCCACTAAATTATTTAATTTTTTATATGCGTATAATGTAAGGTATGTGCGGGAAGATTATTTAGTTTTGTATATACTGTAAAGTTTATTTATAAAGTGAGATTGTGAAGACCATAATATATTTGTTTTTTTGTACCACATTCCGAATTGTTTCAAAAGAACCGTATTTTTTCAAAATAAATTCGTGCTTCCTCATGAGCGTCCGCGTTTCCGTGCGTGACGTTCACGTTTAACACCGTTTCAAATAAAGACGATTCTTAACAGCACCACCTCGCGAGCACGTCGTTTCCTACACCTCATTTCCGTTCGACGACGGGGCTCGAAAAGCGTGCCCAGGAGCCCAGGAGCCCAGGAGCCGTGTCCCACTCGGGCGCGGCTGCTCGCTGCGCGCGGTCCTCTCGCGGGGCGACTCGCGGGCACGAGTGGCAATGGCCTCCGCGTCGCGCAAGGGAGCACCGTCCCTCTGGAAACTTGACACAAGTTGCAATTTCACTTTTCACTCTGTTCAACTTTTTAAAGTTGGATTGGTGCAAGAAAGGCGAATGTGCTGCTGCAGACACTGTCATTCACGGGGGGAGGGGGGGCGGGATTTACAGGCAATGCTAGAAGATATAGATGGAACCTTTTTGCCAGTATCCAAAATTATGGAAGAAAAAAAATAGGTTATACTTGCATTCTCTGGTCCAACACTGGTGAGACAAGGCCATAAAGAAGGCTGTCTCTGATGTAGGCAAATCAGTTTCATAGACAAGGGGTACATTATTATTAGAGCATATTTTGCCACAAGTACGTGTGGTTAATGCAGACGATGCCTTGCAGAAGGTATCGTTTTGGTGTTTGGACATCTGAACATCTATTTCATTGCCAGAAAGGGTAAAATGCTAGAAAAACTGGACTCGAGATGAAGACGAGAGAAACTAAAGTCACGCACAACGACGAGTTCACTGAACCAGTGGCGGGAGGCACGCGCCCCTAGGGGAGTTATCGAAGGTGGCCCGGGATCACAACGACGACACATAGGGGCAGTTGGAGCGATTTAGGAACAAATGAACCTGATAATGAAACAGCAACAGAGCAATGAGGATACTAAAGCAGCACGTTTTTAATGTCTGCATCACCAGTACCTGTTGTTCATATGGATCAGAAGTATTGGCAAATAAAATTGGGTGCACGCTTAAGAATTACACCGAGAAAGGAACACGTGGGTCAAGGTGTACACGAGAGGAGACGATGGACAATCGTTAAGTCTCAGCAGAGTGGCTGCCAAAAGGAGGAGCACGGGCCCAAGAGACCGTCCACCACAGAGAGAACTGAGACTCGGCTCGTGGGCAGCTGCCAGGTGGGATTGTCCCATCGCAGGACCGGGGAGATGACGATGGCTTGGGGATGATGTCTTCATGTCGAGGCGGATAGTCATGGCCGGTGGTGAAATCAAGAACAATATGACGACAACAATAAACAACGCTGTACCGCTGCACAAAACGGGAGACGGCGAGGGACAGGAGCGTGACATGCTGCCTCCTCCGTTGCTCACGCGGAATTGAGGATGAGGAGGGATTTCAGCCATAGGGGCCGTACACGGGGGGAGCGAGCGGCGGGGCGGGGAACGCGTGACGGGAAATGAAGACCGATCGGGAACGGGGCGAGGTTGCGAGTTCACCAGCGGCAGCCTGGGCGACGCTGCGGATGATTAAGCGGTGAGGCCGGGGGGAGATCGCGGTCTCCCGGTAGCCATAAGCGGTGACGGAACGAGAACATTACAGAGTTAACGAGCCTTCTCGGGAGTTCCATTATGTCGAATAGTGGGGCAGCGCCTGACTTGTGGGGCTGCGTGGAGCAGAATCTTCTGACGACGGGACTGATCCACCGGGGGAAGGAGCCCCTGTCGCGACCGAGTCCCCTCGGCTTGAGTGCGAGTTGTGAGGTGGCGTTGTGCGGTGGCGGAGCGGATTTGGGGAATGCGACACCATCCCCGCTCCTCTTCCACCTCCTCCTCCTCCACCGCCATTCTGGGATTGACGCTCCCAATCGAGCCCCCCCACCCACACCGCCAAACCTGCGGACGGCGGGGGGGGGGGCTCGCGAGTAGCGACCGGCGGTGGATTCACGGCAGCGATTTTACCACACAGTCCGCTTGCAGCGACGACGACGGCGGATGTTTGAGGACTTCTCGTTAATTGCGTCCCACGTTCGTTGCCGGCCAACACGGGACGGGGTCACCCCACACCGGTTTAATGCTTCCGCTCGATCACAAACGCTGCTGTTCGAGTGCTGCGTCATTTCAATAACACAACCACACCGTGGATCAGATCCAAGCTCTAACTCCCACGTGATCAAACCGGGTTATCGAGCGGCGTGTGCTGAAGGTGTCAAGCAGGGCCGGTGCTCGGGAGAGCTGGGGGTAGAGGGGGGGGGGCCTGCACGACTGGCACGGTGCCCCCCCACACAACAGCTTTACTGCCCCCCTCCATCCGAAAGGAGCTGGAGCCGGGCCTGGTCTCAAGCCGGTCACAAATAACATCGCAAAAACATGTCACACGCGGTTCATCACCGAGTTTGTCCTGTGCCACCTCCGAGAATGATGTCTGCTTCATGCCATGCGACGAGCCCACTTTGCAGGGCACGTCTAAGGTGCGCCCCGCTCCTCGTGTGGATGCAATCGGTCCGCCCGATTGCTCAACACATTCGTCACAAGCACTCAACGCATTTCATAAAAGTGCCACGAGGAAGGGCCATTGCCTGTGTTCTTATTTTCAGGCCACGCACGGTGTCACTGGCGAATGTGTCGAGTTTGTTTGTTACAGCGTCCCACACTGTGTGGCACGCAATGGGAGTGACTTCCGAACGCCTTCCGTCATCCCCCCAATGCCATTCTCCGACACGTGGTGATGCACTGCTCGCTCCGTCGCACCGAAGGCGCGACTGGAAGGTTGTGGTGGGGGTCACGGTGGGGGTCACGGTGGGGGTGGGGGCACTCTTTAGGTGACCCCGATCAGCCCAGGAAGAGTACATCGGCGTTTCCTACTGTACCGCCCGTTGCGGGAGGCGTGAACAGGCTCATCCTGAAGTTCAATGAAGACTGCTGCGCGAGCATTGTTTGGACAGCTGCTGAGGAAGGGTGGCTTTGGAATGGATGAGAATGGGCGGCGGGGGTTTTGCTGGCGCGACTGCCAGATGAGCGATGCGGGTCGACGAAGCCCCCCGGGCGCTGTAATTTCACAAGTCCACACATTCGATTAGTTCCAGTCGGCGCTCAGACACGGGAGACCCTGACGGTTACATAACTGCACTCTTTCACCTGCATTACCCGAAGGTGTTTGTGGTGTCGACGCGCTGCGCTACGAAGCCGGCGACCCGATTTTGATTCCCGCTCACGGCCAACGCCAGTGACGATTATCTGAACTGGTCATGGGCCTCCCCTAAATTGACTAACGTCCAAAATGAGTACCTGCTGCGGTCTGTAAACATCGCCAATAGGGAGACAAAGGCGGTCGGGCGTGGTGCTGACCACCCCCACCGTGTGCAGTTCCGCCCTTTATAGGTGCTAACAGAATTTGCCTTAAAACTCTGTTAAGGCTATACGGGGGATATTTGTATTGTGCAAGACGCGAAGGCTACGAGCTGTGTGGGTGTGTGGCACGCGCTGGTGTTGAGGGTCAGTGGCTCAATAGCTCAGTGGGAGTTGGGGTTCCACCAGACTGGGTTTCAACTCCTGGTCACGTCAATGGAAATGAGTACTTGGTTATCAACTCTGGAGAGACGAAATGCTGCCGGGTTTACTGGTAACCCCATGCCACGTGACGTGTCCACAGCAATAGACACGAGATTGCATCTCATGTCTGTTCGTCACGAAAACATTGCGGTGCCTTTTGTGCGTGCGCATGTGTGCGTGCGCCAGCTGTGTGTAAGTAGAGTGCATGTGTGCACGAGCTGTACCCCTGAGCGTGTGTGTGTGGGCTGTAGCTCTGTGTTTGTGTTTTATTTAATCCACGTGTGTTGTGTTTTTTGGTGCGGCATCCGCATTCTGCTTGGCAGGCTCGAGTAAAACAAACCAGCTGCAACCAGGACTTTCTTATTTCAGGCTTTGATGGAAAAGCAATCCGGTGCCGCATTGGCAGATTGAACCGGTGGCCGCGCGACCGTTTTCAGCGGCTTTGTGCGACATTTAGCACCGAGCCATTAGAGAGGCCCTGCCAAATTAGTGTTGCGTGACAATCTGTGGCAGGCTTCACTCAAAGGTTCTGGGTCAGCCTTTGTTTGGGGCTGGTTGTGTGGTGTAGTTATGTTAATCATCTTGTACAATTGGCGCTACCCCTCCCCCCCCCCGCCGAATCCCTGAATCGTCCCATGGGTCGACTTCGATTTAGCTGCGTGTATTCGTAGGTAGGGGGGGGGGTTACAGGAATGTGGTCCACAAAGGCGCTATGGATATCTCATAATGGATTGTTTATAATGACGATGGGATTGTATAATGATGATCCTTGCGATAATGATTATATAATTGTTGCAGCTGAGTGCTTCCACGATCTCCCGTCTTGCGCGGACAAGGAAACGCATCCACGCGGTGTGGGTCCTGCCACAGGGCGCCTTCTCATTATCTGCGGGTTTTTGTGAATAAGAGGATTTGAATAGCAAACTCTCGCCCCCACCGCACCTCCAATTAGCACGGTCGGCTACGTACGCTGCGAAAGAAGTTCAACATACATACATTCAACTGTGCCCGTTGACCCGACAATAATAACCAAAATACATGTATAGCTGTTCCTATTTAGCTACATTTACTTTAGCCAGGTCTTCTTTTTAAAATGCGTGCAGACCAGTCGCGGTTTTCGCCAAAGTTGGCCACACTTTTATCGTTTTATTTTGAAATAAAAAAGTGAATTCCTCAATTGTCTTTAGACTCAATATGCAAAACTGTACATAAAATAAAAAGTGGGACATTTCACAATCAGGTTTTTGTTTGGACGAGTTATACAAATCCACACTTACATTTTTGTCTTGAACCACACGGACCTACCTACGAACCAAATTCCAAGACAAGTGTCAAGGCAAGCGTTTGTGAAGAGCAACTCCACTGGGGAGTATACTAGGATTTACAGGGGTTACAGAGCAATGAATAAACGCAAGTCAGATCAACGAGATCAAGTGTAACGGCAGCATAAAGCAGTTGGTCAGGTTACATAACACGACAGT